TAAATTTCATCATTAAAAATTGTAATTTTTGGACGAGAGAAATACTAAATAAATAATTGAAAATATTTAATCTACTACTGAACGAGCGTGATCGTTTTCTTTGAAATCAAAGATGGTTGATCGAAGAAAAGTAGAAGAACCGTTTTGTAAGAGGCTCGCAATCGAATTCCCTAGACTTGCTCGACCGAGTTCTTTCTTCCCGTGGTTTCTGTTCATCCTCGATGACTTCCTCTCCTTCCTTCCACTTCTTCCTTCCTCTCCTTCCTTCCTCTCCTTCCTTCCTTCCTTCTTCTTGTACTCCTTCGATTCTTAGGCCGAATTCCTTAGTTCTTCGCGGCACCGGTGAAAGGAATCGCCAAAGGTTTCTTTATTTGGAACAACCGATAACCGTTTCTTTCCGCTTATGGGTTCGCGAGCTCTCGTCGTCCTCTGCCGCCATTATTCTCTTCGACGACATCGCGCCAAACCGAAAGGAAAGAAATGCGAGAGAGCGCACTTAACGGGTCGTCGTCTTTCCTCTCCGTCAGTCGGCATTGAGTTCAGACACATTGCTGGCTCGTACGTTATCATAGCGGTAATCCTTCAACGATTGAGTTAAACTGGCGCAATGGATAAATTACGCTACTTTGGATCATCGTCTTCTCTCTTCGTTTCTCTCTTTCTCTCACACTCTCTCACTTTCTTATCTCTTTTGTTATATTCATATGGTACGCACCATCTGTTCTAACCAGTATACTTTGATTTGCTCTTTTTAAACTATTCAAACTATTTTTCTTCAATATGTTTAACTTCAATTATCGAACAAAACTAGGTATCATAAATAAATTACGTTATTTTGCCGCATCATCATCATTTTTCATTTCTTTGTTATCTTCGTTCGTATGTTACGTACCATCTGTTCCTATTACTCTAATTTATCAACAAAATATTTATATAATTTTTTATCATTATGTCTTATCTTTAACGATTGTGCCAGACAGGTATTAAAAATAAATGACGTTACTTTAACGCATGGTCTTCTCTCTCATTATTTTATGGTATCATCATAATGGTATATCATCTGTTTTCACTGGAATATTTTGATTGGTCTAAAAATATTTCGACCTTTTTTATTCTTCAATACGTTTTACCTTGAAAGATTGACCTAAACTGGCTCAATGGATAAATTATGCTACTCCGGCTCATTGTCTTTTCTCTCTCTCTCTCTCTCTCTCTCTCTCTCTCTCTCTCTCTCTCTCTCTCTCTCTCCCTCGCTCTCATTTCTTTTGTGTTCATTCGCTCGTACTGAACCATCTGTTCCCATTGTAATACTCTGATTCGTCTAAAAATATATAAACATTATTTTTCAATATATTTCATCAGTTTAGTTTAGCAAATGAATTATTAGAGTAGGTTCGTGAATGATTTCCGCGTGAAACAACTTAATCGATAAAACGATTCGCTTTCCTCGTAATTCTTGATTAAAAGAAGGGTAGATTGGATATAGTGGGTGTGTAGAGCACACCGGTTTCCGTGCAACAACAACGTGTCCCAGATACAAGAGAATCGCGTGCGTATAACGACGAAGCTCGTTGTAGCGGCCCTTAATTGGCTCGCAATTAATATTGCCTGTGTTGCGTGCATCGAATGAACACCGGTGTGCATTCGTATAATTCTTCCTCAAAAGGGTTAACAACAGAAAGAGAGAGAACGAGAACTAGCAACACGTGTATGGTTTTACTTCTGGTGTGTGAATGTGAAAATAACGTTCGAAGCTCGTTAAGGCTCGCTTACGCGGGCCAACTTTGAAAAACGATTAAAATATTAACGTGTTGAAAAAGCAAACAATGTGAGAATCATGCACGTTAGCTCAAGGCTATCGTTCGAAGAACTATCATCGCTTATTCGTATTTTTCTTCTTCTTATGATTATTATTTTCGTTTGATTTTTTTCATAACGATTTATACATCGTTGGTATAGCATAGAAAACGAAAGAAGATAGTGAATCGAATCCTTTCCACCTGTTATTACTTATTCTTCTCCCGAGGTCATTGGCTGCGCTTCTGTTAGTCAGTAAAGTACAAAAGATCGAGTTAAATCGATTGGATTATTATCGAGTCGGAAAGAACGAAAGGGATGGTGAACAATTGAACAGGATTAATTCGTAAGGAAAATCATCGATAGTATTAAGAGATAAGTGCGAAAGAAGGTACAAAGTATACGAATGAATTTTGTTGTTATCAACGTTACCCGCTTCGTTAAATTATTTCGATTATATCGATAATAAAAAGCATTATTGCGTTTCCTGATTTCGTTCGTGATAAAAACGTAAAGCGAGATACGGTTCAGTAACGTGACACACACACACACACACACGCGCACGCGCGCGCGTACACGGTAGCTAATTATACGAGTTAAGATAATTTCTAAATACAGCAATGATCCATACTCTCGTTACGTAAAATATTCTAACGTATGCGGATAAATATCCTCGAACTTGGAAGCCTTTAAAAAGTAAGTAACGTAGTGACGTCATTTATATACGAGCATTCTTTCTTTTTTCATAATAAAATCAAGTTCATCGTGTAACTTTGAACGTTGTTAACATTGAACGAGATCATGAGGACGACGACTACTACTACTTGTTAAAATGATTGTTTTATTACGAGCAATTTATCGAGTTAATAAAGCAAATATTCAAATACTCGCATCAGAGGAGAAACTTAAGAATGAAGAAATAAACTCGAATGACGCGTTTGACTTGGTTAAGAAAATGTTCTCTTTGTTACAGGCATGCGCACCGAGATACATTTGGTTCTCCCTTATACAACCAAGATACGATCCTGAAGATCCGAGACCAGTGAAGGAAGCTAAGGCTGGTAATCGAAGAGATCCAGTCGGCACCTGCTGGGTTGTCGACAAGAATTTCAACGAAACTCAAGAATTTTCCCCATGTCGAACGAGTGAGTATTTTTCCTTGTCTTTTTTATTTTTCTTTTTTGTTTTTTATTTTGATTTCTTATTGATTAACAAGGAAGTTTTATTAAAGTATTTCATCTCGTATAATCTTAAGAAAAATTGTCATGATTTATCGTACACGTGCCGCCGACCATTCCTATTCTTACTCTGGATTTAATTATTGGATTTACGGAAAAATGTTGAAGAATGATGTCGTGACTTATGTTAGACTACTTCTGTTGCTGGTGCTGCTGCTGCTGCTGGTGATACTGCTTAGACTCAAGTTTGAGTGCTATAAACAGTCGTAAAGTGGTGCATCTTGGCTTAAAAAGAGAGACAGTCCTTGGCTACTGTCTCTTATTTCCCTTCGTTATATTTTATGTTAATTTTCTTCTTACAGTTCTTCTTTTCATATCCTTTTTTTCACGTTAACGTCATTAACGCGGAGAAGAAGTCCAGGAGGCTCGAATTTACCCGTCGAGAGGTAAATCCTTGGGGGATGCGCGGAAAGGAGGAGAAAGTTTCGAGGACTCAAGGATCCTCAGCGACATATGGTCGTGTTCTCGAAGTATAGCAACCATAAATACGCCTATACGTAACAGGATACTTCCTGCCAACCCGTAGTTATATTCCTTACCTCCTCTGCCTCTTGCTTGCTTTTTAATGACAAAAGACATATCGACTTTCGTACCTTTTGATACTTCTTAAGTTGTCCATACGAGCAACTTTCCTCGTGGTCGTTTTAAAAAGGCAACGAAATTCAATTAGCCTCGACGTGACACGATGGTGTATGTTAGTTCGGGTATTTTACGATTTTAAACATTTTTCCCCAACGAAAATCTTTCGATTCTTCTTGTACTTTAGAAGTTAGGAAAGGAAAAATATCTTCTAAACAAAAACAATCTTATATTTTCAAAACCGACGAGAAAAATATATTGCCTCGAAGAGATAACGCGAAACGTGCCAAAATAGCTTTTTTCGCGTTATCAATTTTCTTTATCGACGGAGTAAAGTAACTGCCGTGTTATCTCATAAAAGTAATAGATATCTCATTTCCGATGGGGCGGAGAAGGAGGACAAGAGGGGAACGCATTACTTCGAAATTTCGATCATGAAGCGAGATCGTGGAGCTCATCGTTTAGAAATTCCAAGCTCGTGAGTCGCGTAATTAAACAATTTGTTAGATTCGAAAAGGGAAAGAATAAAAGAGATGGATAGACAAGGAAGAGAAAGAGGAAGATAAAGAGGAAGATAAAGAGGAAGAGAAGGAGGAAGAGAAAGAGGAAGAGAAAGAGGAAGAGAAAGATGAAGAGAAAGATGAAGAGAAAGAGGAAGAGAAAGAGGAAGAGAAACCCGTACGCAGCTGATATTTTCCTGGAAATAGTTTTTTTAGCAATAGGTAGGATTGTCGTCATTGCTCTACGTCTACGCTGTGCGATTTATAACGCATTTCTAACGTCGCGTTTTATTTTATGGATGGAAAGTCTCGTCAGATTGCAACTACGAGCATTGTTCGCCTTTACTGGGAATGAAAAGCCACATCTTCTCGCCCGTATATATGTTTCGCAATGTTTTATCTTTAGGATACTGTAACCACTATTACCCATACACAGGAACACTTGGCAACAACTTGGAACACTTGTTCGTGAAAATTTGTCGTGCGTAACTCTTTCGTGGAAATAAACGTGTAAGATACACTATTTTCCAAACTGAATTAATGATTTCTTGATAAATGAGAAACAAATGTATTTTTTCTTTTCTTTTTTAGAAAAACAAAACTGAAATCTTGATGAATGATTCAGTTGATCGTATCAAACAGGTTAATTATTTTGTATTAATTCGATAATGTATAGACAAAGATGTGTTGTTTGTAAAATCGTCAGTTAGGAGTCCATTAGATGAAAGAAAGTAAGGACAAAACGTTAGGAGTGCATTCCACCCATGAAAGCCACCCCACACGTTCGCAGCAGTTACATAGATGTGCTGAAAAAAATGATAATTAGAAGGCGCCAGAAAGTGAGAACGGTACTAACTCAGCGTTGTTCTAACGAGGCCAATTAGCACTTGATCCTACTTGAATTACGATCGAGCTAGCCATCCCTGCCTGCTTGCCTCTGCTTGCCTGCCGGTTATATTGCTGCATATTTCTTTTCCCGGCTTGCCGATTCATTAAAACAAATTGTTGAGTGACACCGACGCAATTTATCGCGGTGTTTCGACGTGAAATTCACGCTAATCGTTACTTTTGTCGGGAATGAAACTAATTCGCGTTGTAAGATCTATGATGAGTACGGTGTGCATTTTTTGTTTAAAGATAAAACAAAAGAGACGAACAAGGTTCGTGACGGGGTACAGTTCACGTTTAAAAAAGACCACGACGTATCATGCACCGTACTTCTGTTCGTTATTTCAATTAATAAAATAAATAACAAAATGCTCATATTTGAAATGGAACAAAAATTCGAACTTTCTCGGGAAAAGAATAAATTGTTGCACAATAATTAAATACAATAATTAAATACAACGTTTGTATATATAAATAAGTTTATATATTACCGACGAAGTTAAAAATAATAAATTGTACAATTAAAGAGAGAAAAACAGATAATGAAGAAAGGTCGATAACCGATATAAAAGAATAAAGCAGCAATGGCCTTCTAATTTCTAAAGAAAAATGATACGATAAAGGCGCGTCCCACAGTACGTATAATAATGCATAAATGCGTGGACTTCTCACACGTTCACAGTATCCAAGAGTATCACAGTGGCTCCATTCATCCTATGTAACTCGATTAAGAGACGCGTCGAACAACGCGATTCTCGAACCACTCGACTTCGTGATTTCGATTCTTTCGTCTAAACAATCTTGTACGATCCCTATTTTTAAATTACATATATGTATTGAATACTTGCTAAGTCATTTCCTTAATTTTTCAATGCATTTTAAAAATGTAATAATTTTATTCATTGAAATAATATTTCTTGAATATCTCTAATAAAAGTTGCAAAATATTTGCAATTAATTAAAATTCATTATTTACGTTTCTAATCGAATTAGAAAAATGTGAAAAATGTTAACGCAGTAATTGGCAAATAAAATTATAAATATGAATTTTCTAAAAGAAAATGTAAAAGATTTATTGTTCGAACGAAAAAAGTTTTGGGGAAAATTGACAAGTATTCTCAATCAACAACGAGAAGCGATAAATGTAATTGCATAAGTGGCAGCTCTCGTCCAAAGTGACCGACAGTTCGCGTCGGTCTCCCTTCGTCTTCCTCTCATAACGTGTATAGTATGTAAAAGTTCTTAGTCTAGTAGAATATATATATGAATAAATATATGTGTGTGCGTGCATATGTGTATGTACATGGAAGAAAGGCACGGCCAAGATCCTCCGACGGGAAACAGACCGGATATTCTCCCCTCATTCGAGCCTACATTTCTTACAGTTCGTGCACGCTGCTATAACCCTACGTCACTATGACCCTACGTCACTCTTGGACAATATTTAATTCAATTAACGATTGACCATTTCAATTGAAATATATTTCATTACCACTTGGAATTTTCCACGAAAATTTTTATTCGCATATCTCTCTGTGTTGTTTTTATATACGATTAAATACATGTTGTATTATTTCATTAGAATTTTAATCCTGATATTTATCATATTTTTTGCTTTCTTAGTACTCTGATTTAAAAAATAATTTTATTTATTTGACCCAGTATTTTTATTAATTAAATGATAGTATTTTTAACAATGAATGATCAGTGAATATTTTATTAATAATATTAATAATTGAATCAAATTGCATCCTGGTAATACGATATTATTTATTGTTGATATTTTATTATAAATGATGAACATTTGAAAAAATAATTACATATCAGAAAAATATTATAAAACTTAATAATTTTTAATTGAATTATTTAAATGTGGAATAAAAAAAAGAAAATATCATCTCTATAAAGTCATTCATCCATTGATAATTGAAACTCACACATCACAACGAACTGCTTCCTAGACGCGCTATAAATCTTCGAAAGGATTTATTCATAGATGTCAACATATCTACTGACCCTATTCTCAATAAACGCTTTGTCACCCTTCTATAACTTTATCGGGATTCAGAGTTCTTAATTAATAATTAATTCATCATTGTCCTACGTCGAATCTAACACGAAATTGCATTACGTTTGATCTTTTAATACAATATATGGATAGGAAATATCAGAGATATTTCTATATGTGGACAGATCGAAACGAAAAATCCTTAAGAATGGAATGAGGTTAATTATTTGTACCTCGTAGAGTTAACCGAAATAGATTTTTTTTTATTTTTATAAATAGATCGATATATACCTTTTTTTTTTGCGTTAAGTATATCGTAAAATCGATAAAAGATTATACGAATGCCACGTAGATGGAATAAAAGTTTGATCGTTCGAATTTCTTTCTTACAATTTCGTTTATCTATTTTTAACTGAATTGATAGCCGATTTACGTTCTTTCGTAATGAAATCTAAGAAAAATTCCAAGCTGGTATATATGTATTTACCTACCACGCATTGTACGCGTTTCATGCGTGCGCGTGTGTGACGTAAGCATGCTCGTGGACGACGGGGTTTGGCTTTGCTGAGGTCAGGAATGAGAGATCTGATCTCAGAAAACAGATTTCTCACGTCCGACGCTTACGTTGAAAGACTCTCAATGTAAGGTATCGCAAAACTTCATCTACGCGAATTCGATATCTTTCTTTTTCATTGTTTGATTTTTTTTTACGTATTTCTTGTCGTTTTTTTTTCTTTTCTTATTTTTTTTGTTATTTTCTCGTTCTTGTTTTCCTTTTAGTTGAAGTGTTATAATCTATCGTTAGATTATTCGAGAAACGATCCACTCGTATATTTGCTTTTCCTTTCTTATCGAACTCATAACTTTCTAGTTTATCGTTGACATTGTTTTAACTTCCATAAGATAAGCATTATGGTAATCGTGACTTGGGGAAAATTTAAGACCACCCTGAGAACGACTTTCCTTCACTAATATCCACTTTCCTAGCCCTCTCCTTTTCATTTCCCTTTCTCTCACATTTTTTTACTTTCTTATCTCTGGGCCCGTTCCGATAGTAAGTCGTTGACGAACAGTAGTGTTTGCCGTCGCCGACGACCGAAAGTTCGGAAGTTCTTCCGTACGGTCAATCATTGAAAGGTAAGATGGATAGTTATGTGAAACAAAATCCCCTTTCCTTCTTTTTTTTTCTCTCGCGAGTTTTTATTTCGTTGAAATCTAAAAATAATTCAATCAGTATTTTATACAATTTTCTTTATAAATATAATTAAGGGACTTTTGAAAAAAAAAAACATTAGAAAATATGAAAAGAATAAATTCGTGAAAGGGTTGGTGGGAACCACTCGTCCCAAATATGGTATAGTAGGCTCATACATATTCAAAAGTCGAGCGTGTACGTCAGTAAATGTTTTTTTTCTAATGAACTGTACTATATATGGTAGGTCTATATACATAGGTTAAAGATAGATAGTTTCATGCAGTAACTAATAAACGTGTTATGAAAAGGAATGCATTTATCCTAAGTTACGATAGAATCGATAATTAAATTGGACAAAAAACGTTTATTCCTCTTTTAAACATAAAATTGTGAACATTGGTATTCTGGAAATAACATATTTAACATATAAGGGAAAAGTCATGCGTAAAGGTTAATTAATTACAATCTTTCTTATCTTTGGATAAGTTATCGTAGTTTCCTGTTCGGTGCTCGGAATTTAGTATGGAAGGAAATAAAAGAGAAAAAAAGAAGAAGAAGAAGTAGACATTTTTTTCGCTGAAAGGCAAACTGTTAGAGATGAAGAAAATGAATCGCAGAGTCGGCGAGCGAGAAGATCGATCCGAGGTTAATGATGCGTTCACCTAGCCATTTAGGCGTATGCACACGCTGCCTTTGAAACATATACCGTTCAACTTCCTAGTCGATAACTCGTAATACTCTGAGATCCGACCTTCCCAACGCTTCAAATGCCGTCGAAATATGCTAGACTACTACTTCCGTTATAAGCAACACGAATTTCAATATTTTCAAGTATTTCCTCGAACTATTCTGTTAGATGATGATTTCAATGGAACCGATATTTTTCAATGATACGTTTTTTTTCAAGATTTAACGAAGCGCGTACGTTTATAAAAATAATATATAATTTTTGTTAAATAATAATATACTCAGGAAAATATTATGAGAGTGGTTTAGTGTGAAGAGTTTAAAGAATAAGCAAGAAGAAAAAAAAAATATATATATATAAAAGAAAGACTGTACTTACATATAATTGTTCATTTCCGTTTCAGGGTATTGGGGATACCACAGGCAAGGCTCTTGTCAGGCGGGTCTGGGTGCCGCCATGGCTAAGGTAACAACGACATTTTTTCAACTATAATATTTTCAACTGAGTTTCTTTCATATTATTCTATTTTAAGTTTATAATATGAAAACTAGCGAACAATCACGCGGTATTACTAACATAATAGCATTTTTCCAAAACTTTTCTAACATGTACAAAAATAAAAGAATGATAGGAGAAAAAAAAAATGAAAAAACAAAATCGGTGAGGCGAATCTGTAAAGAATTACTTTTAACGGTATAAATCCCGAAAGAGGGTGGAAGGAGGGTATATAAATATAGTGTTGGCGTGTCCCGGTGCTGGGGAAGATGTCAGGAAAAGAGTTAAGGGACGATGCAAGGGGTTCGGTGAGAACCGAATATGGCGAGGAATGCGACATTCCAATGCTACGCAACATCCCGATTTATTTTGTATTCTTATTCTTACGGTGGTTTACCCACGGTCCTAAAAGCAATCGGTAAGATTCTCTCACACACATAAACACACAAACTTTCTATCTTTTTGTATTTTTCCCTCTCTGTTTCTCGTACACGAGTCGATTGTCTTGTCGAAAACTCGCTTTTCTGGGCCCGTCGTATCTCGACTTGGGTCCCTCCAATCGGGTCAGGATCGAGGAGACTTTGGGAAGAAATTTTTCATCGATTTCTTTGAATTCCATACATTCCTCAGACTTTACGGAAACTAAACGGGTTATATACAATATCAAGGAGATTTATCCCCACGACACTTGTTCACGGGGTTACGTTCTATACGTATGTTCAGGTATTATCTGTCTTCATTTTTTCTTTCTTTATTTATTTCTATCTCTTTCTCGTTTTTTCCTTTGTTATTTTTCTATCGATCGTGTGACCTACCGACTTCGATCTAATCTCTCCCTAAGCGTAAAAAGTTTCTCGACACGAGACGACGTCGAGACTTCGTATAAAGTTAAACTCACATCAGTTGGGGGGAAAAGAGAATAAGAAAGAGAGAGAGAGAGAGAGAGAGAGAGAGTGGTTTCGCGCAGCGGGACAGCTTCGATTGCCGCCAAAGAAATAGTGAGACAATTCCGCGAGCACTCAGTTGCTCGGCTATCTTCCTCGGATGTATAATTCAGAATTGTCCGGCTATATGGCAGATGTTTAATGCATGTTTCCCCCGGTGCAGATCGTAGCCGACTTTACTCCTCTCGTTGAAACGGCATTCAATGTTAATACCCCGCCCTCACTTTGACTCAATCCCCCGATATACTTTTACCCACGCTTCAAAATCGACCCCCTTTCCCTTCATTCCAACCACACTCATCCCCCTTTTCCCGTACGCAACAAGTGTTGTCTTGTCATTTCGTCGGGACAAGATTTTAAGCTAATTCGATTTCTAATTTATTAACCTCCCGGATATTTTCATTTATTGAATTCTTTGTTTTCTCTTTTACAATTATTTAGATCGATTAGAATGGTTCAGTGTGTGTAATAAAATAAATACTGGAAGTATATCTAGATGTTATAATTTTTGGTTGTTTTTCTTTCTATCGAATGCAATTATTAATGATTTACGTGAAAGAAATGATTCATGACATTTGACTCGATCGATTTACAAACGAACAGGACTACGAATTTTGACAATGTATTTCCATCTTTCGCGGATGAAATGACGAAAGAAAAAAAAAAGAGAAAACGAAAAAAGAAAGAGAAATGGATGTAGTAAGAAAAATTGCTATTGTTTCGAAGGACGGAACGGAGTAGTACTCTTTCCGTTCGACTACTAAATCTCACTCGCGGTGATTTAGAGGGCCTTTCGATGCCAACGTTCGTACGATCGACCATCGATCTTCGCGTTAAACTGCTCGCTTCTGGAATCAAGTCCCCTCTTTCCTCGAAGCAAGTTACACGCGTTATCTTGCCGTTGAATCTGCACGAGATCGATCGATCGATCGATCGATATACCCGGGTTCGATGCCGATTCTTCGATACGATCCGTCCTCCACTTTATCTCGATTCTTTTTTTTTCTTTTTTCTTGGGTTCGATCGTTCCCGTTCGATGCCATGCAAAATCTCTCAAGTATTTTCAATTCATACGCAAATAAAAATAGAATAAGGGAAAGAAAAAAAAGAACGGAAGTATAATATAATCCTATTTCTCTCCTCCGCCCCCTCCTTTCATTTTATTCAATAAAATATTGATTTCCAATAGAATAACGTTAATCGACGTTCGATGAAAATAAATAATATTAATAAACATCGATCTGGATTTCTCCGTATGGATCCCACAAATTCATTCGTTCGATCGTTCGAGATCCTGATGATACTCATTTATGCATAGAAACCGATCGATATATACTTGGTGTATCTCTTTTCGATCGATCTCTTCGATGTAATTCTTACATCGTTTCTTGCTCGCCAAAGTCATCCAACCGTAGGTTTCTTGCCCTCGAGAGAGTACAACCTTTCTCTTTCTCTCTTTCTTTATATTTTTCTTTATTTCATTGGTTGCATTCGATATGGTATATTTCAAGCGATGCACGTTTAAGGCTCGTAATATCTAGGCTTCATGCGTACGTCTGACTGAGTTTCTCCGTTCTTCTCCCGGCTCGCGGAGATGCTGCGAAAGATAATTTCTCTGAAACGATACACGACGAAGAACGAAATATCCTTGCTAAAAGAAATTGAAGCACATGCTCGCAAATCCTTACGACGATTTAGGACATGGAATTTCTCTTTTCGCAACGAACCCACGTCAACGTTGTTCTCGTCGTGGTCGTCGTCATCGTTTAATTTCTTTTATTTCCTCCTTTCTTATCTTTTTCCCTTGAAAAAAGCAAATTTCACAATCTAGATAAACGGGTGGATATATGACGGGGGAAGGATGGGGTAGGGGTGGGGAAGTGAGTGAGGGGTCATTCGTGATTCTAAAATTCGATAAACGTAACCCGACGATAGTAAAATGCGTATAAGTCGAGGGGAAAAAAATAATGTTAGAAGAAATTCTTCTGGTTAAGGGTTAAGTACTTTCAATCTCGGCTGGCATGCCAAGAGGGTGATCTCGAGCTTGAGTAAGAAAGAAATAAAGAGAGAGAGAGAGAGAGAGAACGAGCACGAGGCCTCGGATGTCAGTATAAATTTCACTTGGTACTCCCGAGTACACATTCGGTCGGTTGGTTATATTTCAATCTCGAATACTCGGTGGTTCTCTCCTCCTTCTTTCGATCGGCGCCAGAATACAACTCGTGTCGGTCGTGTTTCGTGTAGACAGACCGGTGCCTCCGATCGCCATTGTCTCGGTTGCAAATTTTTACCGTGTATAAGCATCGAGTCAACGCTACTCCGTAGGGGGTACACGTATGCATCATCTCTCTTTCCCTCTCTTTCCTTCCTATCCTCTTTCTCCTCTCGTGTCTTTTCGTGTCTTACGAGACCGAGCGACAAATGCACGTATTTGCTTACCGTTGCACGACTAATACCTCGAACGCTTCTACCGCGAGATCTTTTTGGCGACTATTAAACAAGAAAAGATAGTACATTTGAAATTCATTTTATATTATATTATTTTCTGGAATATATATATAATTAATTCAAAATTGTATGCGTATATAAAAAAGAAAAAAAGAAGTAAAAGAGAAAAATTCGTGCATTTATATTTTTCAAATTTTTCCCATAACATTGTGGTATAAGATATATTTATATCTCTTTGTATCGAAGGAATAACAAAAAAAAACTTGCAAGTGTATAAAAGTCACGGTTAGGTATATCGGTGCATATGTATATGCGTGTGTTTTTCTGTATGTAAGTGTGTGTGTTAGACCATCGAAACATTGGGCGTTCACGTGACTCGGTCACACGTTTGACATCGTTGTGTGTCCTTTCTCAACGATGAGAAGGAGGACGAGGAGGAAAAATAGGAGGAGGCTCGCTCCCATTGTTCGTCGAGCGTGCGAATCTCCGGCGTGGCGGGCAGTGCGCCCTCTCACAAATAATAACATTTGCGGACACAAACGATAAATAAAATGCTCGAGCCGAAATACCCACCGGACTGGCGCCACTTAAATTCGTACTTTGCCCGTCTTTACGCACCCGACCACCGACGTATTTGCTTCTCCTCTCCTTTCCACTCCTCTCCTGTCCTTTTCTCTTCATCCTATCCCAGTTTTTACAACGTTACATCGAAATCGAGTTCGAGTTGAAAAATCTTCGAACGTGAGCATTAATCGTAAGTGAGATGCCGTGAAATGAGTTTGATCGAAAGAAGAGAGAGAGAGAGAGAGAGAGAGAGAGAGAGAGAGAGAGAGATATTCCTTGTCACGTTGACTTTGTATGCTCAACGTTGAAAGTGAGCTTCCACGGTGTACGCGTAATCCCTTCGAGCACTGGGAGTCAGGATATATGTATAAAGGGATGAGGAAAAAACTTGAAAGAATAAGGGAAGAGAAAGAGAGAGAGAAAGAGTAGAGAAAAAGGAGAGGATATATGCAAGCACAGCATGGCAATGCTGACGAAGGAAAGGGGTAAAAAGGGGGAGGAGGAGAAGGAGAGTTTCAGGTGGCCATTTAAGGCTCGGACATTTCGTTCTGTCACCGCGTTCCGTGTTCACCGTCGACCGTTTGCAAGGAGGCCACCTACGCGCACCGGTGGTCCTGCTTGCATTGTTTTATAAACGGCCGCCATTTCTCATGATAAGCAGAGTAAAACAAAGCTAGACGATAGTTTTCTTTTCGCGGATCCCTTGCATGTACGCGGTACTTCTTATCCTATTTCTTTCTCTTTCTCTTTCTCTCTCTTTTCCTCTTTCTTTTTCTCATTGCTATTTAAGTATACGTATATTACTTACATACAGATAGATACACGTATGTATCTAAATATCTATACATTTTTCTATTTTATTCCCGATAAAATATTTTCCGCGATCGGACAAGACTTGAAAAATATCATCAGTTTAATCATTTACATGTCGTCCTCCCCTTCACTACCCTTTTTTTAAACGTTTGCTTTCACTAATCTCATCATCATCATCATCATCATCATCTTCATCGTTAGATTATCCGACTTATGAAACTCGTATGCATCTCCTCGTGCGTAGGTACACGTGTCGAGGATAGGTGCACTTCGAGAAAGTGCACCAGCATTGTCCCACGATTAACACTTTGATCTCAACGATATACAATACCAGACCTTGACTCGAAACATATTTTCTCATACTCCGATCTTATTGTTAGTTTCGTCATCGTCGAATAAATATTCTATCCCTTTGGGGCCGATTTTTGAAACAAAAAAAGACAAACACAAAAACAAAAAGAGAGAGAGAAAGAAACAATCATGTTACGTAATAATTTTGATTCGTTAGGCCGATAAAATGATAATTATTTTCCGCGTTTGAATTCGTTATGCTATTAAATTCTCTTCTCGCCTATCAATCGTCGTCGTCGTCCCGTGCATCGTGTTGTTGTTGTTGTATGCATGTAAGAATGCATTTAAGTTGCATAGATACACGTATAGATATGCACCGACGGTATATACCACTTCGGTTGCGTAATTTCGCGGTGGAGGAGGGGGAGGGGGGATGGGATAAAAGAAAGAAAAGGAACGGCCTCATCTATTTTCCACGCGTTTGGTCTCTTACGAGATCATTCATGCTCCCCGGGCTATTAATTAATATGTATGCGATGCGTAATCTTTATTACCGTCGTTAGATGTCTCCGTCTTGGTTCATACCGTTATATAGAACGTGAACGCAAACGTCACGGAAGCGTGCGTGTTAGTGAGATAATTTATAGGCTACTATACCGCGTTTATCTCGCTAACGGACAAAGAGATACAATTTAACCGGTTCTATACCAAACACGAATCTTACAATAAACGATAGGAAGGAAATCCTTTGGGCACATTTATAATAGAAATCAATGCTCAAACAAAAAGCTATTCAATAAAGGCGGCTTCGTTTTAAAAGGGGCTCGATCTATGATTTAACAATGTTCTGATTTTTCTTTCAAGGAAAGATCGATTTATTTTTTCCGATCGGTTTTTAACATTAGATTTACCAGCTATTTTGATACACCTATTTCTACCAAAACCAGTCAAAATGACTGGTCTTTCAAAAAAAGTCCTTAGTGAGGTAAAAAAAAATAGTAATAGCAAAATATATATTTCTTACGCGAATATATATATAAGATAATATAAAGTTCATAAAACTGATTCTTTAGTTATAGCTACAAAAGTCATGTCATTACGGAAAGAAAATGTTACATGCAGTAGGAATTTTAAATTGAAATTGCAAGACCAGTTATTTCGACTGGTCTGGTAAATCTAATGTTAAAATGATAAAATAATTAAATTAATATGTTAGTGTATCATTATATCGAATTTATTTATAATAAAAAATGTAGATGCTCGAACAAGTAATTCGATAAAAGCGGCACCTTTTGAGAGATTGATCTTCGGATTCTTTACAAGTTTATAATCGACAGGTTCTTGCCGATCGGTTTTGAATATGGTAAGCGCAAGTAAATAAGTATGTAAGTATTATACTTACGTTGTACGTGAGACGCCATGGGAAATGTGAGTCGTGAACGGATTAACGAGCGTTTAGGTATGTCGACGATTTCGAGTGCTGCCACTCGAAAGATTGAGTGGATCGTGAGTTTTTAAGTACCTAACTTCTTTTTCATAAATCATCGTCGTGTCAGAAACTTAAGATATGCTTTACTTATTTTTCCATGTTTTTCAACTATTCTCCAAATTTTCGTTCTTAAGGCAAATTTTTATTTACTAAACTTTTATTGAAAACAACACAACTTTGGTTGGATCAATATTTTCCAACATTTTTTTATGTTAAATAAATAAAAATAATAGAAAGCAAAATTTCTCACAGATGACTGACATTAACGCAAGTACAATATAGAATGAAATGATTATTACAAATGATTGATTTCAATGAAAACAAAATCTTCTTTTCATTTGGCACGCCTATAAAACTCTCGGAAGGAATTTATCATTAAAATTAATGAACGACGATGGGAAAGCATCGTCGATTTTATCTGCAATTTCTCGCGTATGTTTCGCTCGACAAATTTAATATGCTTACACGCATAAGCGTGTCTCCCTTGCGCTTGCATGCGAGTAGCATACGTTCCCGAGAGCGGCCGATTTATCGCGTGTTTGTGAGACTCATATACAAGTACACTATGCATGTACACACACATGTGTACATAGTACATACTACAACTATCTTCGAAGTTATCTTGTTAATTAAAAAAAAATTCGTGTTTCGTGGGTGCGCTCGGTTTCCGTTAAATTCGACTCGCGCATACTTTGTTCACTAAAGAGCAATGCGTTACAAATCATACTTTTCTTACATTTATCTTGTTTTTATTTCTCATTTTAATTCAATTCATATTTTTACTGATTTCAGAACGGCGAAAGATTATTTATCGGTGCACCAGGAAGTTGGTATTGGCAAGGTAAGTTAATTTTTTCTTTTAACATCTTTGAAATATTTTCTCGAGAATTTGATTGTCTTCGAGTACGAATCGATGAAGCATTCTTCTTTCGTTTTTTTTTCTCGATCGAGATACGTATCAAAAATATGAACAATCTCAACTATTGAATAATCTCGTTAATTATTAGCTAAAATGAAATATATTTGAATAATCACGAAGATGACGAAAACTTATGCTTTATCGTGATCATTGTTATTAGATATATTTATGTATAAATTTTGGAAATTATTGTCTCATGTAAAAAATTGATTGAATTTATCTACGCTATCTGCTACTACAGGACGATTCAGAAGCGGCAGAATCGAGACGGATTTTATTGAAAATGAAATGAATGATATATTTATTAAGTGATTTAGAAAAGTCAAACGTTTCAGGTCAACTTTATTCCATCAGCACTTCGATGAAATTCCAATTCGTGGCAACTACGTTATTCCAACAGGAAGAAGTTGCAGGTATCGCGTATTTGCAGCTGACCAAATTTATGCCCTAATTTCTAATAAGTAAAACAAAATGTGTCAGTGATTGTCGGTTTTTTAATCAGCTACCACCCTCACCGCCGTCGTCCAGCTTCCACCCCCCGCCCCATTTACTTTCTTTCTTTCTTTGTTGCAAACCACTTTAAAAATGACAAATTAACATGTGTTGCTTGATATTCCTACGCTGTTCTTTCCAAGATTTATATATGGAAAATCTTCGAAGGAATGTGTCTGTCGAGTAATACAGAATCAAAAAATCTTTCATTTTTCCCATACTCGCTTGGCAGTGGATATTATAATATAAATTTTTTATTGATCATATTAAAGAAGAAATAATTTTTCATTTCAATTAGGATACATTTGAATTTTGATTGACGACGCTTGTTTTGTTGTACTTACGATTATTTTGTTAAATAACAAGAAAAATGGTAACTGCCAGGTTAGTTTAGGATGATCACGTCTAACAGCAGGTGCAAGTCGCTTTTTTCCAGCTTCACGTTTCGAACAGAGGCGTGCAACGTAATGTTGGATCCAGCTACCTTTGCTACTACTCGTAATCGTTCTAATCGTCGCTCCAGTTCTTCTCTCTCGTCATTCCATTTTAAAAAGAGAATCAAGACAGCTGGAATGTCGCTGCGTATAAATAATGTCATTATCGATACGATGTTTACGCTTAAAAGCAAAATATTAATATGAAATAATAATGTGTATCGCTTGTAAAACCTGCAAACGTGTCCATCATGTTCGAGATATTTCACGATTGAGTCATCAACAAAAATTAAATGTCACGAACCAAGGCTCGCCTCTTTTTCAATTTAATCTTTTTTATCTTCAAAGTTTTCTGGAATCAAACTTCTTAAGTAATTAATAAACTAATTAAATTAGAAATATTTTCAATAAATATCTTCGCGTCAATGATTATTAAAAACAATACGATAATATTTATACACAAAATATTATTATTAAAAAAGAAAAAGAAAAAAGGAATTGTAAAATCCAGGATTGAACTTTTAACCCGACTGATGGTGCTGGGTTCGTGCTGGGTTCGCAACGTTAAAAATATTTAATGATGAAATTTAACAGGGAACTTGGACATGAAAGAAGTAGAACTATGTTTGATTTAGTTGGACGTTTCGTCCCTTTATTGGGACTTCTTCAGCAACT